TGTGTGAGCGAAGCGGAAAATTATCATTTCCTTTGCTTTTGTTTTCACAGTCAATGAATTTTGTTGCTTCGTTGGCGTGAGAATAAAGCGCAGAAAATAAAAAGAAACAAGACAACAAAATAAAATAAAAGGTTTCTTGTTAATGTTGCTCGCAGTATCTAGGTTTGTTTGTACATGTGTGTGTGTTTGTGTGTGTTTTGATATCGCATTGTTTGTTTAGATGTGTGCTCGCGCTGATTTAGTCATATTCATTATTTTCCGCCTTTCTTTCGCAGGCGTTAAGTTATATTTATTTAACGCAAACTGCTATGCGTCTTTCGCTTACTCTCAGATGTACCCACACAGACACACTCACACGCACACACGCACACACACACACAGACGCACACGAAGACGCCCGCACTTTTGAATGCCACAAAAGCGGACTTAAATCTTCGTCCTTGCTGTCAGCGCCTTCATCATTTGGGTTGTTCTTTTGCCGAGGTTTTTTTATTTTTTGTATTTTTGTGCAGTCGCAAATTTAATTGCCAGTGTTGTAAAATATCTTCCGTTTATTTTTATTTGGTGGGCTCAGCTTTTTTAATGGCTTCCCGAGGCTGATTTTTGTCGTTGTTGTTACTTTTATTTTTGACTGCCTTTTACGCACGAATGCCTTTTTATCTGGCTTAAAGTAATCCCATTTTTGTTCATTCATATTTTTATGCGGAGCGCTTTAATGAAATTGCCTGCAGATGCAAGCCAAACTTTACAGCTGTTCTCCATGGCGTATGCGCAATATTAAGCCACACACGTACAATTTAGCATAGAAATGGCGATGGCAGCTGCCCGCTTCCATGTAATGCGTATGCATGTGTGTGTGTTTGCGATTTTTCACTGTCAGTTTTATGATTAACTTTGCACCAAAACCCAGAAAATTCACACTTGAAAAAATTCGCTTTACTTTGGTGTTCGTTGTTGCTCTGTCAAAACTTTGGCCATCGCCGAAGTTGCTTGCGTTGCATATCCTGCCACATCCTAGCTGCTATTGTTCAATTGCCACACGTTGCTTAGCTGCCTTTAGCTGCACATGCTGCAGAAACCCATGCAGCAAGCATGTGAGAAATCTTGAAACATTCTTCAATATTGTTGATGATTTCTTGCGGTCCAGCCCCGGGACTTGCCGTTTTGTTTTTCATATGCATGTACATGGTACATATACTCGTATGTATGTAATATGTTTATATATTGTGTATGTAGTTTGTATGTGGCTTATGAAAATTTCTCGCATGTTACTCTTGTTGCGCGCTTCTAAGGGCAGCTGCCTGTTTGAGCGGATGTGGCTGCTTCCCACGCAGGGCATGAGCTCTTAAGTGGCGGAGCTTGTGGCATTTTGTACTTAGCCTTTAAAGCGCTAAGTGAAGAGAACAGCTGCATGTTAAGCTCACATCTGGGTGGCTCCGAGTTGCTGCACTTTGTTGATTTTCATTTAATTGTCCATTTTAAGAGCCCAACACGAACTGACCTTAAATGGAATTTAAGCTGCACACATCAACTTTAATTGAAGCTGCAAAACTTTTAATAAAAGTCCTAAATAATTGAAAAGGTTTATTTCCCAGAACCGAATATGTTTTGCTGGACAAAGTTAGTTAATGCCCTTGTTGTTTGATTTAAAGATTAAAAGGAGACAAAGTTTTGCCATTAAAATATAATAGAGATTTGTATTAGAATTTTACGCAAATTTGTTTCACATAAATCTATAAGAAGAAAGAGTAAAATGAAAGTGAAAATTGTGTTTGGCTGATGGAAATAAATCAAGAAATTGATAGACAATAAATCGCAACGATAGTAAATCTGTGCTTACTCGTAAGATACACGTATGTAGGTGTATGTAATTTATGTTTCTCATTCAATGCAATGATAGAAATTTATTCAAAAGCAAATGCAGAAGTGTTTTAAAGTAAACATAACTTTCATGAACTAAACGAAAGAATAGTGTTGCCTAAGAAATTTTATGTAAGCGTCTTAGTTGCCCTGTGTTTTTATTAAGATTTATTTGAACGACTTTCCTGAAAGTTTCAAGAACTGATACTTGATTTTCTTTAAGACCTCCTTTTTTATTTTAGACAAAATATTTGCATGGAAAATTCACAATTTATTAATCATATCTATATTTATTTTAATTTTCCAATAAAAGATTGAGCAAACATTTGAAATTATCATTTGAAACATCTATATCTTTCTTCGTCATTTTTAAGTATAACTAACTATATTTCAGTTTCAATATACTTCAATTTACACAAAAAATACAACCATTTTTAACAATCCAAGCAAATGCATTTTAAGCCTTTTTTATTCGCATCCTCTACACAACATATTAAACAATTCAAAATCATGCAGCTTAACAGTTTGCTTTTATTTCTGCAAAATAAACTAAATTTGTGAATACATTTCTGTTTGCATTTAACTTCAATAGTTACTCAACAAAATAAACTCTAATTTAATTATAGATCGCACAGCATTTCCGTTTTTACCTAAAATGTATTTTTTCCGCAAACGTGAACTCCCAATATTCCATTATAAAAATCTCACTCAGATGAAATGTCTATTTCCCCATTCTGTAATAAGCTAAATATTAGTATAAGTTGCTTTACCTAAAATTAGACACAGTGGCAATATTCTCATTTGGAGCCATGTCAGCTATTTCTAATCCTTTGACACACTCGAACGCTTCAATGGCATCAATGTTCGGCTAAAACGAAAAAACAAGCCCCAGTGGTGCAGTTTTCAATTTGAATATTGAACGAAAACGCAGAGCAACAAGCCGTCATTTCAAAAAGGACATCAAAGGGCTCTATATTGTAAAATGGCAGTCCACGAACTAACAATTCGAAACGAGCTTTACGTTTAATTTGTCAATGCATTGAATCCAATATCGCACTTTTGCTGAATGAATACAAATGACTGCATGAACAAATGGATGAGTGGGCAACGATGAGAAATGAATTGTTTGGCAGCTGGCAGATAGGCGGGCAGTCCAGGATTCTTTTGAAATAAAAAATCACTGCTATTGACAAAGAAAGTGAAGGGGGAAAAAAGTGTTTGCTCCATAAACGATGAAAATGCATAGAAAGCAATTCTGTATGGAGAAAAATATTGCTTGCCAACAATAAAGTCAAGCGAATGCCAACTGCGGCTTGTTGCTGTTCCTTTTACTGTTGCTGCTACCATTTCTGCACCTTCCATGGCTCCTTCTACTGCTATCCCCTTTGTGTTGTGCCTCAGCATTTGTCGCTGGCCATGTGCGTGTGTCTTTGTTTGCTTTATGCAGAGGCAAATGATTCCGAGTCAAGTCGACCCGCCCACAGCTTATGGCGGACGAGCTCAGCTATTTGCCTTTCTTTTTGTTTACTTGTCTGTATTTATTGTTTTTGTTGCCATTGTGCCATGGTAAAAGGCTCAATTAGGCAGTACAAAGCCAACAGAAAGCCACCAGCCGCACCACACATTCACACACACGCATATGTGCTACATACTCGTTCTTAATGGCTAGGGGTTAGAGCCAAGTTTTCAAGCATTCATAAAGAAAAAGACGCAAGCTTGTGAAAAGAAATTTACCTAAATGCAGATACTATAGGCGCTCGATATATGAATAGCACCCGAATTCTTATTTACTAATGAGTAGAAGGAAAATTCTTAATTATAATAATAATAATAAGGTTTTTAATTATTATAATAATATTTTTATTATATTAAGCTGAATAAATTTAGGGGCTACCAAAAAAGTATTAATTGTCGTACCTAGATCTTAAATAAAGAGAAAAAAATAGTCCACTTAATGACACTTTTAAATGAATTGTTTTAAGGAGTATGCTCAGTTCCGATCGGGAGCTTAAGTTCATTCAAACCAAGATAATCCTAGATAATAAATGGATTTCTTTCTTTGAGACGAAGAACACATCGAATATAAATGGAAAATAAAACTGAGTATGAAGCATCAAAAATGATTCAAAAACCCAATATAACTTTTAAATCTATTTCACTTTAGTTTGAGTTTTTCAGACAAACAAGTGGAACTGACCAGTTTAAAACTCATTTAAAATGTTTCATTTACATTAACTATATTTATGGATATATTAACCGATCCGGAAGAAATTCATTTGGTGCCAAAGTATTAACAGTTTTCGAAAATTGGAAAGTTTCACAGTTTTTTCAAGTCTATTAAAAAGCAGAATTATTTTAAATTAAGTTTAATATATATTACTTGTGTTGTTACTATCAACTTAAAAGTATAAAAAACTATATTCATTTTTAGCTGCCAACTTCGATTATTTCAAACACAACTTAAATGATTGGCAACTAGTATTTGAAAAACATGGATTTTCCTAAATAGTCTTTGTTACTCGTATGTTTCTTGTATCTAAAAATATTGAAATTGTAGACAAATATCGGGTATTTAATAATCATATTTAAAAATTCTAGCTCATTTGGGGTAGATTTCTTTTACCAGCAATACTTTTTCAACATTCAAGTGGCTTTCTTAGTGCCTAAGAATCAGCTATTCATTTTGATAATACTTTTTAAATTATTATTATTGAATATATACTGTAATAGAAACAAATGCGAAAAGAGCTCCAAAACGACCTAGACATGCGGCATTTGCAGTGGCAACAGAAACAGAAACGGCAGCGGCAACGTCAACGCCACCGTTAAGCTTAATCGATACCAAAACAGACTGACAACTGTCACTGCCACTGCGTTCGATTCTTGGCTCAAGGTGGAGACCATTGGGCGTATGCGTAATGTACGAGTATGTGTGTTTGCATACAGTGTTGTGGGGCTTGTAAATATTTGCTGGTGACCGCCATATAGTACCAATACTATAAGCCCCTACTTGTCCGCAACTACGAATTTCTAGCGTTTGCAGTTGAGTATCTTAAAGATACATATATACATATACGTTAATGCAGTAGCTGCAAGCAAAAGTAGTTGTTGTAGTAGATTGTATGAATTGCATGAATTACCGGCAAGAGCGCTGCAGATAGCAAAACATTGAGGAGCCAGACGGGCTGCTGCAGAAGTAGTTGTTGTTGTTGTTGTTGTTGCTGCTGCTGCTGACACAATTTTTGCTGCTGCTGCTTCTGCTGCACCTACTGCTGCAGAGCTGCGGTTGCTGCTGCAGATAGATGTGGGGAGACACATACACACACTAATGCACACACACAGCGACGACAACTGGATGTATAGTATGATGGCGACGGCAAACGGCAACTTTGACCAGGATGCGCACCCGAAGCGTCGAAATTGCGGAGCGAGACGATGAGAACGAGGCGAACGAGTCGAGCGCACACACGAGCCTTTGCAACGGCAATGGCAACGGTAATGGCAGCAATGTTAGCGACTGAGGCTGCAGCGACTGCGACTGCGACGGCAGCGGCGATGACGACAACGACGACGACTGCAACAACTGCGACGACGACAGCGACGAATTCAGCGACAGCGATAGCGGCAGAGGCAGATGCAGATGCAGAGGCGGTGACAGCGACACCGGCGCAGCTACAGCCGAAAATTTTACCCCGGAGGCTGTTGAACTGCACCGCTGAACTCTTTCTTTTATACTACACTGCTCCTACTACTTACTACAACTATTATTGTTATTGTTGTTGTTGTTGTTGTAGCCGTTCTTTTGCTGTAGTTTCTGCTCTGTTGTTAGTGTTGTTCTTCTTCTACCTCATAGCTGGCACTTCATTGCACATTTTTATCTCACGTTGCCAAAAAGAACAAACACAAAAATATTTGCAAGCACGGGCTGCGGCCGGTCAACGTTGGGACAGGCAGGTTCAAATGTCGGCGACCGATGGGCCCAAATATATACTATATATACATATATATATATATATATATATATATACATATATATATCTATATATGTATATATGAACGTCCTTTGCAGCTGCAGTTGCCCAACTGACTGCTTGGCTCGTCTTTTTGCCGCAAAGTATGCAAAGATATTTAGCCTAGTTTTTGGCTCAATGCACTGAACGTCGTTGATATTGTTGTTGCTTAAATAGCTGCAGCCACAATTATTAAATTAGCTGCATTTTCGTAGCACTCACACAAATATACACACACTCTTCATAATTCTCATATGCATATGTAAGTATAATTATTTTGCATTTATTTATGGAAGCCCATTAAAACTCAACACTTATTGAAGAATTTGTTATGGTTGTTGCTGCCGCACTTGCTCTTGCTGTTGCTATTATTATTATTACTATTGTTGTTGTTGTTGTTGTTATGGTACACAAATGATGTGCAGTGATCTATATATAACTGTATTTATGTATATATATGATGGCTTTCATGCATGCTGCCTTTCGGTCTGTCTGTATGTCTGTTTGTCTGGCTGTGTGCAATTGTAGTAAAAATAGTAAAATGTTTGCTGTGTTCGGCACTAAAAATAGGGAGAAACGTTTTGCTGTCACCACTGCGGTTGTTTTTGTTATTATTGTTGTTCTTGTTGTTGTTGCTATGCTTGGTTATTTCTGTTGCTATTTGCGTAGAATCGCTTTGCGTAGTTAAGCGAAAACGTTACACGCTCGCACGCCACACAGTTAAAGACTGACCGACACCACGAGCAGCCGCATACGAAAATTTTGCCGAACAACATGCTGGCCGCCGACGAAGAGCTGCGGACCGATGTTGGGTTCGGCTGACAAGGAATGCGTGAGATTCATGAAACATGGCGCCGCTGCTTGATAACAGAACGAACAAAGCGAACAGGATAAGGAACGAGCGGTTTTCGGAACAGGCCTATCAAACGATAAGAATCTCTCAAGCTGCCGGCCTCTCATCATTCTCAGTGCAGTGGCGCAGCGTTGAATGTGTCGCCGTCTGGCTGGCAGCCCAACAACATCTTAGACACCAGAACTGTATTGGAGGCAGAGGATGGGCGTTTGGGGATTTTGGTGTGTTTGGGGGAGGAGAGGGGTATTTCGGTGTAGGCACCTTGGGGTGGGCAAGCAAGCGCGTAAGTTTTTGACGCCCGTGTTAATTCTTGTGGAAAAAGTTTTTGCTCATTTTTTTGTGTGTGTGTGCTCTGCAGCATGTGAGGCATTAATGACTTGGTGTGCCAATAACTGTATACTTTGAGGCGCTGACTATGACGTAAAACACAAATTCCAAATGTGTTAGTTTTAATTAGACAGCGTTCCACATATTGTAATATTTATAGAATATCAAGTTGTCTTTAGATTGTAGCTTAAAGTGTTTTAACAATTAGTAATTCAGTAGCAAATTCAAAAAGGACTAAGCTCCTAGTTTAAGCTGTATTTGTATTTTACTATAAGTTTAATTTAAGTTATTGTAAATAACAACAGTATAATTAAAGTTTTACATTTAACAACAAAAAAAGTGTAGCAAATTTGTGATATCTTACACTTTTCAACATACCATTTGATTTCCTTAAGTCGTTGTAATAATAGTTTTGAATTGGATGCAGTGAATATTGAAAATCAACTCTATTATGTTAAGTAAAGACTATTCATTGGGCTGTCTAAATCTCTATCTTAGTTCCCGATAATTGTGCTTGAATGTCCTAAATATTTGAAGCCACTAAGTATGTTTATTATAATAGTCGTCTTTCTTCATAGCTATGGGCTAGAAGAAAGAAAGCACACTGTGGTTCGATACAATTCAATTACCGTAGATCAGTCAACTTTACATTTAGTTCATGAATAAAAAATTAGTTGCTAACTATTGTTATTTCAGAGTTTCAGCAAAAATTTCCCTGTAATCCAGTTGTCATTTCCACACTCAAGAAGAAGGCGTCGCGTAAAAATAATATGTTCGAGTAAATGCAAAATATAAGGTGTTTAGCGTTTGCATCGAATAGCGTGCTTTGGTAGTCTGCTGGGCTCTGGTTGCCGAGACGTCTTGTTCTGCTGAGGGCCATGGGACTGTGGGAAGTGGAACAATTACAACAACAACTAGAGCAGCGGCGACGGTGACATCGCAATGTGCGAAACATCATAAAAATAAATAAGCAAAACGGAAATTAATAAGAAACACAATGATGTTTCTGTCGCTGTCACTGCCTCTCCCACTGCCTCTCCGAATGCTTCTCCAACTGCCTCTTTCTCTGCCAGGCAGCCAAACAGCCTGCCTATGGGATCCGAACAGACATAACAATAACAACTACAACAATGCAAAATGTGTGTGTGACGACGCACCGTGCCATCAATTTTCTTTGTACTACCTCTAGTCTATGCTTATAGGAATTTGTAAAAGTATGTATATATACTTGTATATAGAGTATATACATATGTATGTATGTGTGAGTGTTTGTCTAGCGTATTTTTACTACATTCTGTTGGGTGGCCGCTCATTGGTATTTCGGGGCGTATGCGCGATATTTTTATGTTTATGCCTTTGTCATTGCTTCGTTTATTGGGAGGTTGGGGCTCAGTACAGCTGGCTCAGTTAGTCCCAGCTGTTGTCCCTGCTAGGGATGTGAAGATAAGAAAGTTCTTCGAACCAGCTCATTTCTTACACAATAATGAAGAAATAAAGAAAGAAATAAAGAAATGCTCTATTTTCAAGAAAGAAAAAAAAACATTGAAAACGGCAGCTATTAAAGTAATTATTAAAATGGCTTGTTCTTAATTTCTACAATATAGCTTTTTAATAATTCATATTTCGTCTGATTCTTAGAAAAAAAGATTCTAAGTATAATTTTATGCATCAGATAATTTTAGTCTAATATCACAAGGCTTTCAGAAATATTATATCCGCCCAACTAATATTTGTGACTATACATCATCACCTTATATTTTTCTGTACACCCATTCATTCATATTTTTATCATAACGTATTTGTGTATATTTTATTTGCCTATCCGTCTATCTTTGGCCATATATACTTATCTATATTTTCATTCTCACAAATATTTAATAAGCTGCTCTCTATTCACATCTCCGTATATTCATCTATTTAATTTTTTATATTTCTATATCTTTTGCAATCTGTCTCTTGACCTCTATACATATGTACTAGTATATTTTTGTCTTTATCTCTTATTTGTCTATCTTTTTATTATTTTATCTATCTATTTCGTCATTCTATTTCTTATATATCTATCTCTTCATCGCTCTGTCTGTTTAACCATATTTTTCTTTAAGTTGAAAGCAATAGCATATTAATTAGAAATATGATTCAAGGAACAGATTATTTTTTCATGATCCGCTTTCAACATATACTCGTAGTATTTAGCTCCTATTAAGTTATTCCAAATATTCAATACTATATGTAATATTAAGCGAAATTAAAAGCTTGTTTAATTTCTTATTGAATGTTAATCCATTTTGCATACCATACAGACTCAATAACGATTCAATATTAATCTGTTGGTTTCTTAGAATTTATAAATAATAAGCCCAACATTTCCCATTGCGAAAAGTATAAAACGAGATAGATTTTGTTTTTGTTTTTTTTTTTTAGTTTTATTTATGTAGTTTTCTTTTATTTTAATCTTTGTTTAAATCTACAAATACATTTACAGCGGAGGGCGAAAGAACAAAAAATTAAAAATGTTTACTCTTTGTTTGTTGTTGTGTTTTTTGTATTTTGTTACTTTTTTGTAATTTTGCGAATTTTATTTTTTTCTGCATGTTGCTGACAAAGTTTTGTTTCTTTTTTGTTTTCCATCAAACGTTCATATATTTTTTTATAAATATTTTTATTTATTATTAATTTAATTTGTTTTTGTGGTTTGTTTTTTTTTTTTCGTTTAGTTCTCATTCACATATTCATCAACTTCGTCATCATCATTATCATCATCATGACCATCATTATCGTCTTATTATTTCTTTTATTTATTATTCAATATAATTTGTTAACAACTAATAATAATAATAATTTCGCTTAGTTTGTCATAACTAACATGCCATAATCATCATTATCATTATCATCATTATCATAATCATCACTAAATTAGAAAACAAAACAAGTAGAAAAACAGCAGCGAACAAATTTTTTTTCATGTGTACAAATGTGGTTGTTTGTGGGTGTGTGTGTGTGTCTGTGTGTGTGAGTGGGTGGTTGTGGGGTGGTGGGTGTGGCTCCAAAACTAGCTAATATGCTGTTTGTTTAGTTTTAGACACAAATGTTGCAATTTGTGAAATATGGGCCACAATTTGGCGCATTTCTCTGCCAAAGCCAAATTGAAATTTTTGTATTCGTTGTTCACCCTTAAAGCCGTTTAAGTGGAAAGTGGGCGAGTGGATGAGTGAGTTGGTGGGTGGGTGGTTGGTTAGCTAGGTGTGTGTTGTGTGAAAAGAGCGCGCATCACAGCGAAATGAAAAAGAGAATTAAATACTGTTAGCTACTGCCTTGAACGCATCATATACATATATATATGTATATACGATCGTTGTGTATTTGTGTTGGTGTGTGGTGTGTGTGTGTATGTGTTTTGGTGTTTGATTGGAAAATGCACACAAAGCATAATATTGTTTATAAATATTTTTCGTTTATTTATTTATTTAACAAGTATTTTGCTTCGCCTATACGACTGACATTCATTTATTAATTACTCTTCGCAGCTGCTAACTGTAGTTGGCTAGTAGTTGCGTGAGTTTTGTTTTTGTTTACTTTTTGCAAAAATTAGTTATGGCTGCCTAACGAACTGCTTACTGTGATTACAGTTATTGTTACTGCCAATCATTTCGGTTAATGCTGTTCGCTTTTATTGCGGGCCTGAAACTACATAGTTGCTTGCATGTGTGTTGTCTATTACTTCTTTCGATTTTTGTTTCTTTTTTTTTCTCTTTAGCTCCATTTATATAATCAAAATTTTGGTTTTGCTTTTTCATATAATATATGTGTATATATATAAACAATTATATTTTCATTTTATTTATTATTTCCTTGTTGCTGTTGCTGTTGTTGTTTCTGGTTCCCATCTACTCTATTCATCAGATTGGTTAGCGGCGGCCACACAAGTTGTTTTTATTTACTTTTCACTGCTTATTTTGTAACTACGCTAATTTATTTCATTTGTTTTATTTTTAAATTATTCTTTATAATTTCTCTAAACTTCTTATATACTTTGTTGTTGTTGTTGTTGTTTCTTCATGCGTTGTGTGTGTGTGTGTGTGAGTGCTTGTGAGTGTGTGTGTTTTTGTCGGTGTATTTGTGTAAACATTTGTTTAACGCTAGTTACGCTTTAGCTTTTCATTTGTTGTTAAATTTCGTTTGCGGCTTTCCTTCGAGCGCTGGCTGCACTTAATACGTTGTTGTTGTTGTTGTTGCTGTTGTAGTAGTGGTTTGTAGCTCTTAAGCGTTTTGTTGTTGTGTTGTTTACCTTTTGCCATTCAATGTTTCGTGTTTCATCTCGTTTAATAATTTTCACTAAAAACAAGTGGTTGTTGTTGTTGTTGCTGTTGTTGTGTTATTGTTGTTGTTGTTGTGGTAGTTGTAGTTTTTGTTGCAGGGGTTACTTTCTTTGTTCGTTTGTTTAAAATTTGTTTTACTTTATTTAAATCTTATTTGTAGCTTTAATTTATAATTTAAATTTACTTAAATGTTTAAAATAATTATCGCTTGCGTGTTTTGTTTGTTTGTTTACTTTAAATAATTAAATTAAAAAAAATATATATTGTAATATGTTCTTGCTGTTGCGGTTGTTCCTGGTTGTTGTTGTTGTTGGTAGTAGTTGTTGCTGTTGTTGTTGTTGTGGTTTCTCATCGGCTCTTGTGGGTAAAGTGTTTTATTTTCTCATTCAAATAAACAATTACTAACTGTTGCAGGTTGTGTGTAGTTGTTGTTGTAGGTGTGTGTGTGTGTCGGTGTGTGTGTGTAGAAGGTATAGGCATGTGTGTAGGTGGCGTGGTAGTGTGTATGTGTTTAATAGTATGTCTCCTGTTCCAACCAGCCGCCAGGATTGCGACGCAAGTAGAAACGACGTGTCTCATCATAGATGAAGATGGCCAACGCAAATGGAATGGCTGGGAACCACCAAACGAGTCTGCAATCAGCAAATAGTAAATTAAATTTAGTCTTTAATAATAGTATTATATTGTTATATTGAACTCACTTCAGTGGGTACATGCGCAGACCCTTTTGCATGCCCGGGCAGTAGGACAGGAAGGCAGCCAATACGGTTTCAAATATGAGACCAAAGTTCAATGCCCAGTTGCGCATGCCCTGTTGGAAAATGGAGTTACGACGCGTCTTACAGATGATCAAATCGGCCCATTGCACAACAACAATCGAAATGAAGAAAGCGGTGTGGCAGGTATATTCCAAGGTCTTGCGATCGCGATAGGTCTACAAAGCCAAAACCCAAACGTTATTTAGTTAAGAATGTCAAAAGCAGTTCTGTGAACGTCTCTTACCCATTCCTGGCCATACGAGTCAGTTAGATCGTTGACCGCCTTCGAGTCCCACATCTTACGTATGCCAAACAGATGCAAGGGCAAGAAACCGTTCTCAGCCATAATCACGAAGTACACAAAGAAACCGGCAGCAGCTTGAATCATACCGATCTGTCCATATGCCATGGAAATCAATCTGTTCGTGTGTGTGTGTGTAGATTTGTGTATAAAAAAGTAGATAGGGCATTAGTTAGGGTGTACATACAGTGTACAGATAGACTATAGGTTTCATTTTTTTCGGTTGTGTGTGGTTTATTTTTCTGGGTTATTTGTTTTTGGACGAAAGGCACTATTTTGACGAGCGGCAAAGAGCTGTGCAGCGCAATACCTGACAGGCGCATGCGCAGTTTTGAAAAGGTTTTTGAGCTTGCGGGGAAATACAAAATAAATAAATTCCAAAATTTTTTACAAAAAATAAAAAAACGGATGTTTAACATGTGTTGTTGTTTTCTTGACAATATGAAATTATTTAAAATATTTGTTTTCAGTTAAAAATGTTTAAAAACAATTACAAATCTTGTTTGTCAAGAAAACAAATTACATGTAGGGTGTTCTGTTGGAGAGTTATCTGCAAAGCGGGCTTTAAATAGAACATTGAGGTACCAAACCTGAACCCAGTACCTAGGCTGTCGAACTCTCTAAATCAGCATTCTATCCATTTGTCACTTTCAATATGGGAACCTATATTAAATAGATATTGCATTGGCAATAACTGAATCATGAATCTGTCGTATGAATTAGGGCTTGTACCCTAATCTAAGGTTTAAGCCCTAAAATGGAAATTAAATTTTGCGTAACATTACATTTTTAATCTGGAGCTGAACTATACATTTTAATTTTCTTCTTTTTTTTTTTGGAATTGAAAGTATGTCAAAAGTAATGTTCTTCTTTATCAAATAAATTATCAGTAGACTTATACAATTATGATAATCTTTTTATTATATTGATTAAGCATAATTAATGCTGATCAAATTTAAAGTTCTTTAAGATCGGTTCTTCCATTTTCTTTTGACTTTGCTTTCGCTAGTTTAGAAGAAAAAATGAAACAGTACGTTTTGAGGACTATTTTGCTATTATTCGACACAAAATCAAACCGACTCTTTCATTATTATTTGAATCTGTTAGGTGCTTTGGTTCCGCATAGTTTCGTCTTAATATAATGGTTCTATGCTGATCTTTGTTGTTACAAGTTTGGTACCGTGTGTCTATTTGATAGAGCCTGATCCCATACTGAAAAAGTGAAGGTAAAGTGCTTCACTTCTCTAGGGGATTAAACACAATTTACATTTAAGGGAAATATAAAGTTATACAATTTTTAAGAAGAAGATCAATCGAAATAAGAAATAAATCTAAAAGTGAAAAGGGAAAATTAAATTGCAGGTGGAAATTTATCACAAATTAAAGAGTATAGATAGGTTTTAAGCTGTAGGGGAATCAAGAGTATTGCAGAAGGCTCTTTAAGAGTGAAAATATCACACAGATTTATAGAAAGTGTAGAACTTTAGGATTGCAAAGCTAAGCAAATAGCTGCGAAAGTAAAACATAATACATTGATTACAAAAAATATATAACATATAAATTTGAGACAAAAACCCTGCCAAAACCGCTGCAGTGCTGCTTGTGCAGTGTTCTCTTAATACTATTTAGTATTAGTATTTTTCAATTGTTAGTCATTTGTTAGGCCGCTTTACAGAAATGCTCGTTAATTGTTTTTTTTTTACAAGCAAATGAATTATTTGTATTTTTATTGCTAGTTGTTAGGCGGTTGTTAGACTTGAAACATTACAGCGTGGATTGTGTTTTTGGTTGCGAAATTCTTATATTTGAGCGCGCGCAGAAGCAAATCAGAAAGCAAATGAGGGAGCGATTCTCCGTTTTGAACAAAATATGCTACTACTATATACATACAAGTATATGTACATACTACACATAGAATGTGATGATCAAAGCAGAGAGTTGTTTGGGCATTTAAACTATATACAGGACATACAAGTACATACATACACATAATACATATTTGCAAACAAATACATTTAGACATGCAAAGCACAGTGAACATGGCAAGCTAAGTTGAGGAAATGCAACTACATTTGTTTATAATTTGTTAACATGCTAAGTTCTTCATTTACTTACGCGTAACAAGAGCTTTGTATTAACTAAACATTAAATTATAAATAAACTTATAGACTTATAAACGTAAAATGGAGAATTGGAACTGATAAACCTCACATTAAAACTTACTGCGAACTGTTCGTTGCACTTTTTGGTTTCTTCTTGATACTTGAGCGGGACTTTTGCACAGGATTCTTAGAGTAGGTTTACGAGTATATAGTATAGTATTATGTGGTTTATGAGAGTGTGTCTAGAACAGAACTCAAGCGTTGTTTGTTTTTTGCTTTTGTTTCCAACAAACTCAACTACAAGAAACACACTAACTGCTCTACAAGTTTTAACAGCGTAAGCTTCGTTTTTTCTGTTTTGTAATTTTGTTCAATGATGTGTTGGAAGATACTCGGATATAGTATAATATATATAGTTGATGTCTAACCGATCGTTTGTCTGAGTGTGTGTTTCAATGTTTTTTTTTTTTTTTTTGATTTGGCGAGCGCAGGAGCGAGCGAGCGAGCGTTAACTTTTTTCTTAACTAACTTTGAAAATATAGTATCTCTAAAAAAGCGGCTATTATGCTATAGTTTCTGCTTGTGACTATATAACAGTTTCATGTTGGCTGACTAAACTATATAGACATACACAATATACGTGATTTGTGTATATATTGTTGTGGGTGGACGGCAGTTAACGTTGTGCGAAGAACACACAAACACATTGAGAATACACATTGAGTTCAAAAGAATATCTTAGGATATACAAAAATTGTAACTGAAAAGGCAATTTCGACACAAATTTCGATTTTTGTTTTGTTTGGTTTTTCAGATTTCAACAAAGTTAACAAATTTCATTCCACATTAAGAGTTTAATAATGGGTGTAAAGAAATGAAGGATAGTCAAACTTTTTTTGTTCACATTTAGTAAATGAAAATTTTTTGGTTTTTCAAAAATATATTGTATGTAGAGTCTATATAGATTCAAATGTGTGTAGGAGAAATCAAAGAAATGAACGCAGAAATGCATCAGCAAACGAACAGACTAATTTAAATATAGTTTTGTTTTTTTTTTCTCTGTTCGAATTGTGTTTCAAAAAAAAAAAGAAGAGGGAAAAAAGAAATATGGAACGCGACACACACGTCAAACAAACGACAAATCGAATAAGGTTGGAAAAAAACGTATGGTTGCATGTTTGTTCAGTTTCTAGGTTTAAATTTCATTTAACTAATGAACTTAAATAAAATATTGTTTTGGTTTTGGGTTTTTTGATTTCTTAGAACTTTAGCTTTAAGTATGTCCTGACCTGCGATTGACCAAGTTGTCGCGATACGGGTCTCTCGGCTGACGCTTCATAATATCGCTCTCGGCTTGCTCATAAGCGAGTGAAATGGCGGGTATCTTACGTTATATATTCATATATATATATATTTAAGAATATATATATTGTTTAGTGCAAATTGCAAGTTTCATTTCATTGTATTAATCAAAAAGAAAGACATAATAAGAGTTGAAAAAATGTGGGAAATACAAAAATAGGAGAAAACTGGTTAAAGTTTATGTATTTCTTGTAAGGTACTTGCTGGCGCATTATATTATCGTTATAATAAATTGTTTTGTTTTTTGTTTTTTGTTTTCATTACAAGCTAATTAATATATGGACTAAAATAGTTATAACAGAGCGAAAGAGAAACACAGAGATAGCGAGAGTTGGAGTGAGAGAGAGAGAGAGAGAGAGCAACACAGTTTTGGGAATCGATAGACAGTGTTTGGTCGAGTTCTAGAAAGTGTCTGTTTTAACTTTTTTCATAGCTCCCTCGTACTTATGAAGCTAAAACTAAACTAGGGGCAAGTGACAGCACCCAGTAAAAAAATGTTTATATATTTATTGTTATAGTACAAAAGAGAGTACGTAGGATATATATATATATATATATATATATATATATATGTATAGATAGGGTTTGCTTAAATTGCGCTAAAAATATTGTAATGAGAGAACTGTTTTAGAATTAAACTAAAGGGATTGACGCCCACTTCTGATGTCAAGAAATGTGGTGGAACTACAAATGATTGAGGTATGCTGTTCTGACTGATCGATGCTGATGATGTGTTGGAGGTATGTGGGAGTTGATGTTAACGTAATATTTTTTGATGCTTCGAGCTCTAGTATGGATGATGACTGGTCTTTGAAATCGAGTTTCTACATTTATATATAATAAATAGATAGGTATATCGCTAAAGTTAAAATTTAACCTGCACTAGCATTAAGTAAATCACTAGTTTATATTGTTTATAATGAGGAAACTGCGACTCGCGATGGAAATATACAGCTGAGGATCTAGACTTCTCTCTTCTAGAAGAACTGCAACTGACAGACTTACCTTTGAAATGACTAACAAAATATATATTACATTTCAAGTTCTTCGATGTTCTTTGTACAAGCAGTTATGGTGTGAAACATATATTCAAATATAGTAAATAAATAAAGTACAGTCGTACTTTAAGCAGGAGAGACGAAGAGGAAGCATAAGAGCGCGCCGAGTTGAAAATAAAGTGTTGGAAAATCGTAAAGGCAAGACTGAGAAATCTAGCTGAGTGGTCGAAAGGCATTAGATGGTGATTGGTTTTTTTGTTGCCTATTCAGAGATTTTTTTTTGCGAGTGCAATATTCCATGTTTTGCTCTAAGAAAATTGTCGAAGTAGTAGCACCAGAGTTGAAATTATAGTTTTTCTTTGTGTCTTTAAATCTAAACCCTTTATAGTATATGTTGATTTTAAAATTTGCAAAATAAGTTTTGGATTAAAATACTATTATATATATGTATATGATACGGTATATACTATTTAATAATAAGAGATATGCGTTGCAATAAGTCAATATTTAATAAATTTAACTGAGCCTTAAAAAGCGAGATCTCGTAACAAACACAAAAAAATATATAAACAAGTATTATAAGCAAATATACGTACTATGTATATTGGAAAAGGAAGTTAGGGATGTATTACGAGTACAAAAATGATTTGAGGCGCAGTCCTTGGAAGTTTGCTAAGAATAGATAGATCCTGTTCGCTAATGATTGTCTATTGAAGAAAATGCAATCTAAGTGTATGAAGAGTACGTATTAAGAAGTAGAAAACTATAGGAATCAAATACATATTTCTAAAATGAGCTAGAAATTTGATCATTTAAATCATGCCTCCGATATTCCCTATAATGTTTCGGAACAAGAAATATTATAATAATGTGTGAGAATTTGAATCTAAACCTTGCCGTATTAATTCTTTTGAGGTGTGAAGAAATAGTTAATCAAAAATCGAGAACAAGTTCAACATTTCTAAAAGGTACATTTTTGATCGATTACACAATTATGGCGAGACGGATTAATGAAAGAAATCTAAAAACGTTTTACTTCACTGATACATGTTCAAGAGATTCGATTTTTCTGAGACTGCGCGTATCTAGGATATAATGAAATTGATCTAGAAAAATTAGCCTGAACTACGCAAGAGTGAAAGTTCTAGAGAATCCAACTCCACTGAATACTTAACTAATTGTTAGAAGAATTAAAAAGTCGAAAACTCGAAGGATAGTATTGAAAAATATTAAGTTAAACAAAAAACATTCAACATTTAACAAAAATATCGAAATTATAAAGATAACGACCTTTCCAATATCTGAATTTAATCCAAAAAAAATATTTATATACCTAACATAAAACATAAACACATAGATAAAGAATTTTAGGTAAAATTTCGAGGAAATACATATGCAACGTATAATAAAAAAAAAAAAAACATTTAACAAATAAGGGCAAATATATAGAGGTAAAGCTTATTTCAAAAGTCCACAGTTTTATAGGAATATTAGTGGTAGTAGAGAAAATATAAATTGAAATATTGTTATTTGTGTAATTTGCTTTTGATTTTCTTGAATACAAGTACTGAGAATTATTGATCGTAATAACGCGCATCAGATTCATTTTTGGAATCGAATAAGTGACGAAAAAGGTTGCAAAGAGAGAGGAAGAAAATGGAATCGAAATAGCATTCATGAAAATGCTAATAAAAAAGCTTCACTTGCGCAATTTTCCTAAAGAGTTGTTTATTAAGTTTTGTGTTTTTTTAAACTTTGTATTTTCTTTCATTTTTTCTTAGAATGATTTCTTTAGCAGCACAAAGAAAAACTTTACCTTTCGTTGACCAGCTTATCTTGAAAGGGATTCCGGGGCTGACGTTTCATAATATCGGACTCAGCCGTCTCATAGGCTAAGGAAATGGCTGGCACCTGAATGTGCAAGCGCGTTGGTTTTGTAGTTGAGTAGTGGGGAAAATAAATTGAAAATAAATGTGAAAAACTGATGAAAAATAAATTCGTTCGCAAGTTGTTGACAACTTGGACTTGGGCTTGGACTTGGGCTTTGACTATGTTGCCTGACAAATCCTTGAACTGTCACCGAAGGCCGCTGATGGGGTTTTGTTGCTCACATACATATGTTTACATATCTATACAAGACTTAAGCCTAACTTAGACCTTATATATATGTATAGTACAAGTATATATTTAAACTTAGTAAATGTGTTGAGGAATTGATTACAGATGCTTAAGTGTCAGATGATGTAAATAAATGTTGGAAGTTTTCTTTCAAATAATGAATTAACTTAAATTTTAAATGAACAGTTTCGCTTTTAATAATTGTTGTTAACATATTTTGTATCTATTTTCTACAATTTGTGTGCAATCGGTTGTTTAAAAAATTGTTAATTTAACTCCAATACGAAAGGGTGAATAATTTTGCAAATAAATGCCAAATGTACAAACTTAAAATGAGAATTTAAAACAAATTTTCAAAAATAAATAAATATACAATGCCAATCATATACTTGTATATTTTGCCAATATTGCTGCGATGAGTGGAGTGAGGGTAACTTTGATTTAGTTACGGAACATAAACGAATAAATTGTGGAAGATACATATATACTTGTATTTTGTATTGTTTTTCTTTTTTTGTTTTTTGTTTTGGTGAGGCAAACGAAACAGGTACGACGCACACCAATTATAAACACCAATTAGAGCTTTAGAATAGAGGCGAGTGTTACATAGGAAATAATTTTGAAAATTCCTCAACGGAAACAATATTGAAAATATATAGTAAATAAACATCAGAAAGTAAAATAAAATGAAATGCATTGCTTGATCGGATTCGTTAAATGGTATGAATGAGCTCAGATTGGATTCGGGGATCAGTTCATGATCGAGATCGCATATGCAAACAATTTCCGAGTAAGTATAGTCTGATGGATGAATTGTGACTATATGCTACAGAGAGATGAACGATTGAGATACTGTTTGGTTGTGTGAAAGTAATTTAAATGATAATCATCTTAAAGGTACAATAAATTAGGTAATTAGTAAACCATAAACATTGAACGGCTTGTTAGTTTTTGCGCTGCTTTCATTGAGGCGTTACTTATATAGAGTATGTTAATAAATTATTACAATCCAGCCACAGACACAGACATATGTTATAGTTATATGGGTTTGCGCTTCCGATAGTTAGTTAGTTTGGCAACAACAACTATTTCATTAAATATGTACAGACATTTTTAAAATTGCTGCACATTTCATTTATATTTAGTATTTGCTTTGGGTTAAGTGTAATGCTCTGTGTGTGTGTTTGTATGTGTGTGTGTGTGCAAGGGTTATATATATGTGTGTGTGTGTATTTGTGAGTTTGGCTAAAAGAAAATTGGCTTGATTGGCACCTTGAGTTCACTAATTTATCGTTGAAGGGGTCACGTGGTGGACGCTTCATAATATCGGCTTCGGCAGCTTCGTAGGCCAATGAAATGGCTGGCACCTAGTATTGGATTATCGGATTGTTGGTAACATTAGCAATGTTTAGGCATTTGATTTCGAGTCGTACACGTTTGGATTTGAAAGTGTGTTCGAGCGATTCAAGTGTTTGTTTGTTTGTTTGTTTTTTCATTGTCGTTGTGTTGTATAAAAAGAAGATTCAAAATTACATTGAGATCATCGGTTAAAAACTTATACTAGCGTTGTTTTTTAGGTTTTCTAGCACTGGCACTGGCACTGGCTGGGGAGTTCACGAGCCTAGTAGTGTGGTTGGGCGCGCATTAAATGGATATTCTCTGTTTACCTCTCGTTGACTAGATTGTCCACGTCGGGGTTGCGTGGACGTCGCTTCATTATATCCGCTTCGGGCACTTCGTATGCCAACGATATGGCTGGTATCTGCACGCAGCACCCACGCCCAGCACCAAATACAATTCAAATCGCATATACATATGTGTTATACAAGGCTTAAACTTACAGGTACTCTTGACTTGACTTGACATTACGCTAAACTTGCTCAAAGACTTAGCCACAAAGTTATATTATGCATATATATATATATATACAAGTATAAAGGTAGCTTGCAGTGTTAGTGAAGGATTTCAACTTACCATGTCCGTGCCCAAATCGATGCACAGAATTGTAACTGTGCCCAATGGCAGTGGTATGTCGCACAGAATGAAAGCCAAGAACGGTGAGATTTCGGGAATGTTCGAGGTAAGTGTGTAGGCAATGGATTTCTTAAGATTATCGAAAATCAAGCGACCCTCCTCAACGCCAGTAACAATCGAGGCAAAGTTATCATCCAACAGAATCATGTCAGCAGCCTAAAGTGTTGGGGGAAAATGTTTAGTTATAATTTTTACAGTATTGATTGAATTATTTTACTCATGTTCAGACTTTCTTTTTCTCTCTAAATACTATTGAACACTCATTCGTTACTTAAGATTTTTAATAAATAAGACAAGTCTACTTCATAGGATCCTCAGTGTTAAGGTTTAACAGATGACGATGCTCATACAGACAGACAGTCTTGGAGTTCTATAATTATGCTTTCAGAGCATAACCAAATTATATCTAGGTTGCAGTCTGAACAGGGTGTTGTAGAAAATTTGTTTGGTCGATTCACAAACCTGCTTGGACACATCAGAGCCAGCAATACCCATAGCAACACCAATATCAGCCTTCTTCAACGCAGGCGAATCGTTCACACCATCACCAGTGACAGCCACAATGGCGCCCATACGCTGGCAGCCCTCAACGATGATCAGTTTCTGTTGCGGCGAGGTACGGGCGAACACAATCTCGGTGTGGTAGCGCAGGATCTCATCCAGTTGATCGGTGGAAACGTCACGCAGCTCAGCACCGTGGACAACAGCAGCCTTGGCCTCGCGAGGATTTACCTCCGATACGGGTATGTTCAAACGCTGGGCAATATCCTCAACAGTCTCATTGCCCTCCGAAATGATGCCGACCGATTTGGCAATAGCCTTGGCAGTAATTGGGTGATCACCAGTGACCATAATGACTTTGATGCCAGCTGAACGGCATTTGGCAACGGCATCGGGTACAGCAGCACGTGGGGGATCGATCATGGACATGAGGCCAACGAAACGCAGATTATCGATGGGGAAGTTTACGTCATCGGTGTTGAACTTGAAGCCAGTGGGATATTTGTCTGAGGGCAGTATGAAGTCACAGAAGCCGAGGACTCGCTCGCCCAAACCTCCCAGTTCCATGTAGGCATTGTTAAAGGCCTCCTTCATCTCCTCGTCGAGCACCTTCTCCTTGCCGTTGATGAAAATGGTCGAGCAACGTTCCAGAATGCGCTCGGGAGCACCCTTCATGACGAGCAAATAGCGGGGATCGTTGGAATCATCGGTTTCGTGGATGGACACTTGGTACTTGTTGGTCGAGTTGAATGGCACTTCGGCTATCTTCTTGTTGCGCTTGCGAATGTTCATCACATCGCCGAGGGCCAGCTCCATGCATTTGAGCAAAGCAGCCTCGGAGGCATCACCGCTAACTTCCTTCTTTAGAATGGGCACACCATCCTGGCCACCCTTGAATTCGGCACGGTTACAGAGAGTGGCAATGCGAGAGAGCGCCTTGAAGCCAGGGCTAGTTCTATCGTATTGTACACCCGACTGATCCTCGGTGGTATCGGCCTCAATGATCTGGTTATCGAACCACATGTGAGCGACAGTCATGCGGTTTTGTGTCAGGGTGCCGGTCTTATCGGAGCAGATGGTCGAGGTGGAGCCCAGGGTTTCGACAGCCTCCAAATTCTTTACCAAACAGTTCTTTGATGCCATACGCTTGGCAGTCAGGGTCAAGCACACAGTGACAGTGGCCAGGAGACCCTCTGGTACGTTAGCGACAATAATACCGATGAGGAAGATCACAGCATCCAGCCAGTGGTAGCCCAAGATGAAGGCAATAACGAAGAAGGTAACACCCAAAAATACAGCGACGCCGGTAATGAGGTGAATGAAATGGTGAATTTCCTTGGCAATAGGAGTCTCTCCAGTATCCAGGCCGGAAGCTAAGCCAGCAATACGACCCATGACGGTGTGATCGCCGCAGCTGATCACAACACCTTTGGCGGTGCCCTCCACAGCGTTGGTCGAGAAGAAGGCCAAATTCTTGGTCTCCAAGGGATTTTCGTGTGTGAATTCGGCACCACGCGATTGAGGTTCCGATTCACCAGTCAGCGAGGAGTTATCCACCTTAAAGTTACGCGCCTCAATGATGCGAATATCGGCGGGTATACGATCACCAAATTTCACCTCAACAACATCACCCAGCACCAAATCTTCGGCGCGCAGCGTCAGTTTCTCGCCCTCGCGAATTACAGTGGCGAACTGAGGCACCATGTTCTTAAACGACTCCATGATCTTTGAACTTTTCGATTCCTATAAAAGAATTATCATTGGAATTAGACGAGGACTTGATTAATTTGTGTAAATGAAGCTATGTACCTGATAATATGAGAAAATGCCCGTCACAATGACGACAGCGGAAAGTACAATACCCAGATACAAGTTATCATCGGCCGGCTCCTCGCTGGTACTGGCTTGAATGGAGTAGGCGACGAAGCAGAGTATAGCACCGATCCACAGCAGCATGGCGAAACCACCGAACAGATTCTTACAGAATTTCACCCATTCGGGTGTCTGCTTGGGTGGTGTAAGCGCATTGGGACCATCGCGTTCTAAATTCTCCTTGGCCTTGGCGTGACTTAGACCCTACAAAAATTGGATAGTAATACAATTAGATTTTATAAGGCTGTCATACTAAATAGTAAGCATTCCATTCACTTACATTTTCGGGATGTGTCTGAAAACGCTGATACAATTCCTCAGGAGAGATTTTATGAAAGTCAATATCCAACTCCTGTTTGAGATCATCTAAATTCTCTTTCTTAGGTCCTTTGGCCGGCATTTTGCGTCTTGACTGTTGGTTTAGTTACAAAATAGTATTATTAATATATGTTAGTTGATTCTTTCTCATGTGGAATTGAAGAGAAGAAAACAGAGCAGCGAGTGAACCATAGACCGCCACAAAAATCGATTTACTTCATGCCATTAACCGCTTTATTGTTACTCGTATTATTGGTTAATCATTGATTACTTGGTGGATCGATCGATAATGTGCTTCCAAAGTAATACCCGAAAGTCATATTTTACAGTTGATTTAGCGTGTGGTTGTGTTCGTGACTTTATTAGTTTTTTATACGGGTGTGTTCTGGAATTCGCTTCCAGTCTAAATTCCAAAAAAAATGTAATTGGAATTTGTTTCAATTCGACTAATGGAAGCGAAATACAGCGCACACACACACACTGATATGTAGAACCAGTTAACAGTTATAAGAAGAATATTTACCAGTAGAAGATACGAAAAATAGGTCATAGTAGTAGTTACTGTTACTTACCACGTACGCTTACAAACAAATGAAAATTAATGCTACAAAGAACCGTTAAAAACCAATTTAAACAATTTACTTTCCATACCTTACCAAAGCTCTACAAAGTCACTAAATGCCTGTTGTTGAATGACATGAGCTTTTTACGAATAAACTATCTACTATACATACATATGTGCATGTCAGGATGCTATCAATTGGGGCGTAAATTAAAAAAAAAAAATTACAAATAACAAAATGCAACTAAACACTGCGAAGCGTGAGAAAATTTGCATTAGGCGCCTCTCTATAATCTGCGGCACATGCAAGTGGCGCAAAAACGCATTGAATGTGAATGTCACGTAAATGAAATCAAATGTGTGGCAATAAATAAGGTGTACGAACAACAGAATGCCGGACAAAACTCATCTATATAATGGGCAAAAGCTAAACAAAACAAACTGAAAATCTAAAATAAAAAAACGCAAGCAAGAATCAACAACAAACTAGCCAATGCAGTGAATGAAAATTCGACTTTTGTTTTTTACTGCATCTTCTATATATATGTACTAGCTATATACTATATATATATATGTTTATTTATATTTACGAGCAAAACTGCAAAACTTTGAATAGAAACGCATTGACCTTAGTAGCATTTCAAATTGGATGAACAAGAAGAAAAACAAAAAGTTCAAAAACTGACATTTACTTGCTATTTACACTAACTGGTATATACCTGATATATAACTACCTGATATTGAGAAGTAAAGCTGCATTGACCTCAGACAAGCATTTTATATTAACGGAAAACAAAAACAAATTTAACATTGAATTCTAAAATTGACTTTTGTTTAGTTTGAAATTGAATGAATCAGATGGGAACATACTATATGTTGGTGTATAGAACTTTTATATCATCCGTAAAAGAAATGTATTCAAAAATTGGCAAAATGGAAGAGCTATTGAATGAAAAGGAGTTGGATATACTTGTATTAAACTTAAGATCAATGGAGAGTACGTAAGTAAGGTTCCCTAAACAAACGAATTAGCATTACGATGATATTGAAATGAGTTAGCATCTACTATATCGACTATAAAGCGTTAAGAAATGCCTAAATGAAGAATTACTAAGAGGGACTGAAATACTGAAGCCCTATTATCGAAATTGAGTCTGATAACTAAGTGAGAAAATTGCAAATTTATTTTGCAAAATTGATTATTTATTTTCAAACTCACGACTCACATTAAAAATCATTTGAAGTTAGTTTAAAAAATAATATTAAAATTAATAAGTTATTAAAACATTTGCTTTTGTTTGATTGCGCTTAACATTTATATTATCTATTCCATGTTTGTAAACCGAATCGCTGAAGCAAAATGTTTAAACAAAATAATCGAATATAGTATCTATATAGTATATGTATATAGTACAGTATATAACACATTTATTTAGAACTGAACTGTTGACGCAGCTGCTGTGTCTGGCTGGCTACGACAAATGTTCTATTGGGAACATCTATATAATATTATATTATAATATAATGTATCTATATTTGTTAGCACGCGGTTTCTTCACTGACGTCACAGTTGCAAATTTTAAAGCCCTCATAATTTGTATTTACTCATGAAAATGTGCGGTCATTAGCTATACACTTTATTATATTTAGAAACTATACGGCAGTAATTTAAATAAATTGAAATCACATAAAAACTTGTGCAATTTCGCAATTGCCAATATATTGAAAAAAAAAAGATTCGCTATCTACACAAATATAGATGGTGTACATAAATTCATCTTTTCGAGAGGGTTCTCTATTTATAGTTGGCATAAATGTCAAGCGCCAGTCTGTAAGCGGTAAATGTCACTTCCCAAAAATAAACGAAGAAATACACAAATAATAAGTGCAAAGAAGTGTTACAAACACAAATAAATCTACGTATAAAATCGATTTAGTAAATAGCAAAAGAAATCAAAATATAATACGGTCAGACAGACAAATAGTTTGCGCTCAAGTTTATTTTATTTTAGTAGAAAGAAATTGTGGCCAATATGAGAGTTTTATTTTACAACATAAATTCGGTGCAAATTTTTAAGCTAAGTCGATTCTAAATAAAACAAAGACTGATACAAATCAACTCCGAAAGTGGGGTTAGTAAGAGGCTAAAAAAATAATCAAAATTAAGCCACGGTTAGATAGGCAAATAGTTTGTTCACAAATTCGTTGAATGTTAGCAAGAACAAAACTTTAGATTTAAATTTAAGAAATGGACAAACTTCTGTGCGAAATATCTGTCTGTGTAAACGTAGCTTAATATTAAGTCAGCAGCTAAATTAAAGAAAAAGCGACACAGAAATTGCATGAATTATATTTATGTAAACATATTTATGTATAGGTACGAGTATATGGTATGTGCTGGTAATCAAAAATAAAAATATGCATGCTTTAAAAATGCACACCACAATGTTGATATATATATATATATATGTTTGTTTATGTGTGTGTGTGTGTGTGTGAGAAATAAAAATTGTATTTACCTTGTAGCGACCATCGGCTGTGCGATTATCGTCATCGGTTGGTATAACCGTTGCGACTCGATAAGAGTCCGCTCTCCCATGCTAAGAAGGCGACACAGCGGTTTGTTGGTGGGGGTTTGGTTGGTCGGTTGGTTGGTATTGGTGGTGGTGATTGATTTGAATTGATTGATGATGCATTGATGATGAGGGCACGAGCGGTAAAAAGATACAAATCAAAAAACGTAACAAATAATGGCAAAAATATAAAGACGAGCATAAAGGAAAAATGTACTACATACTACAAATAGGAATAATGCTTAGGGATATGCTAAAAAAATATGCATTGCATAAAATACACACACGAAATTATCTTAAATGCTAAATGATTGTGAGCCTAACTAGAAATAATAAATCTACTTATCAGATGATGTTGACAAATTGATTAAATAGCTGTATTTGATCTCTATGTATTATGGTTTCTGTTGTTGTTTATAAATATAGATGGATATATATATCTACATGTTTCTTGGTCAATTTTATAAAAATATGGCAAATAAATGGCATCAATAATGCAATAGAGAGCATGATTGATAAAGGCACATCATGTTTATTCAGTCGCTCATTTAAGACTAAACTTGGCGGATCAATCAACTGACAGGGTTGCCAAAGGTACTTTATAGGTTCGTTTCCTACTACAACAAGTATTTTATAATCTTTGGACAACAACGAATTCTCAAAAGTTGCATTGTAGGTTCTCACATATGCGAACTGATTTATAGGAATAGAACGAAATTGTGCTGCTGTACAACTAAGTATCAAAAATTTTCTTTTTGCAAAAGTTCGAGCGTTTCCAAATTTTCATTTTTTAAGCATAATTTATTTGAACGCTTGAAATGAAACATGAAAACACATGATGTATAATCTGAAGTGGTTTACAGAAATTGAAAATAGAACTGTATGTTTGGTGAGGGTCTCAAATTGTTTTGATGATTCAGCTAAAATAGTTATACAAGGGACAGGGACTTTAGGGAGAGCGAGTCAACAAGGACAGTGAATCATGTAGTATGCGTATTAATATATAGATATATATATATATGTAGGTAGATATGTATGTGTGTAGTCATCAATGTCACATTAGCCAGTGGAATTTTCCACAGCACAAAAGTCACGTTCGGCACACGCTTTTCAACAATATTTGCGGTTATGTCAGCGACACGGCGCATGTGTCGCATGGAAGCTAAAGAGTGCCTGATTGTCATAAAAACAATGGAACGTAAATTGATTTGTGGGGTGTTGCTGAGCGTAAGACTGTATGTACTTATGTGGGACAAATTACCGCAAATGACGTCAAATGTGGGGTAAGCCTATAAATAGGTTTTGAAACAAATACCCCAAACATTAGTCTGTCTTATCAACAGCGCGGAAAATGAGTCATTTGGGTGAAAACAAAAGAACGAATGCTCAGAAACAAATAAAATGTGAGAAAGAAATTGCATTTAAGATACTTGTAATAATCGTTTTTATTTAACATTGCTGCATGCGATTGCCAATAAGAAACGAGAAAACAGGCGATTGTAATTTTTTAAAAACAAATCAAACAAAATACTACAGAAGAGGCAAGAGCGGGGAAAGACGCCAGTGTCTGGCAACAAATGAAATGATTTTTTCAGAGCGCGTCTACAACAAACCTGTCGGGACGCTCACTTGAACGCCGCGCCGGTGACGCAGAACGATAGCGAGCTATATTTTTATATACACATGTGTATATGCATGTATGTATGTACATATATACAAACATGTCTATATGTATCGAAGAGAATAAAATAAATAAATAGGTTCATGCTGTTTGTTTTTCGCTTAGCCTGGCAATTTTTGATTTATTTAGATTGGTGATTATTTGTGTGTTCGGTTTTTCGATTTCGTTGATTTTTTGAGTTCAGCGTTCAGCGGACATGAAAGAAATCTTGCAGCTTTTTGTGCGCCCGAATGTCTTTGAATTTGATTTTTTTTTTTTGCTTACGCACTTTTTGTTGTTTCTGTTGAAGTAACTAATGGGTTTGCCGTTGATGTAGTTGCCTTTGAATTTATTTAAATTGGTCTATTTTATGACTCTGTTTCGGCTTAATGCTTATTGTTTGGGTTACAAGCGGCTGCCAGACAATCTAGACGATCTGTGATAGAAATGAGGGGGGGACATCGAAGAAATACATATGTATAATTAAAATCTAATTGTAGTGTTAGTTGATAACAATTAACTTAGACTTAGTGCTAGACTTAAAGCCGTGGCAAACAATTGTTAACATCATATACATATGTATACTATATAGTGGTGATAAGGTTTGTTCAACAATTTATTTGTAGCTGTATTTTATGCGCTCCCACAAATTAATTTAATTTAAGCTGACAGAAAAGACGGACAGCTCTAATGTATACTAGTAAGTACTACAAAGAGCTATGGCAATTTTCATGGTTCAATTGTTTTGAAACAAAGCGCAGTCGACAGTTTGCTTTCGAGTCTCAGTCACGCGGCGGCTCAAAGTCGCCACAATTGCAAATTGTTGCAAAAAAAAAAAAAACACAGAAAACAGAAAACAAAAACGCAGCATGTGAGCGAACAAACAAGAGCAACCACAGCAACAACAATATAAACAATAAGTAGGAAAAAGCCAAAGCCCAGCTCAGTACAACAATTAGAACGCCAAGCTGGGGTGCGGGCTGAATGGCCAACCAATGGGCAGTCAAGTTGCTCAGGATGGATAGGCGCGATATAAATCAAAATGCGACAATGGACACAGACACACACACATTCGCACAAATGTTAATTACATAAGAGCACACCACACACACACATACATACATGCAATGCCAATTAGGCGGCCCGATACAAATATATCTACAGTTGTGTGCTTTGCGTCCAGCTGCCTTCCCATTTTGTTGTAGTTTTTTTTCAGCCTTTTGATTATGGACACAAAATGTTGAACAAATTTGCGCGCGCCGCAAACACATTTGGCATTTGAACTTGAATATCAATTTACAACAAATAAATATCGGATGCCAAGCAGTTGGAAAGGTAGAGAATCAAACAGATATATACTTATGTATATATATCTATATATGTATAGAGAGAGCACAATCTGTGGCTAGTTACAAGATGATGGCCAAGAAAAACGAAGCGACCAAGTGAAAACAAAACGTATTTTCAATTTCCAGCAACCAGAAAATGTTGGTGGTGTGCTATCGTTATATCTACTTATATGCGGTTTAAGCCAGTTTGAAACCAGAAAAGAGCGGCTCTGTAAGCTCACCTGCCGCTTATCACAAGCCAAGAAAATGAACCAACAACAATAACAACAGCAACAAGAATTTAACGCTTCATTTGAAATCGAAACTGACACAACCACAAAACAAAGTTCATTTCAAACTATATTCGAGTACATTAGTTACATATATGGTCGCCAATGTTCGGCAAAACTCTGTCTGTATGAACATCCTGATCTCAAAAATTACAGGAGCTGGACAAAAGCAACTATGCGTAAGCCTGGCTATAAGGTGTTTTGCAGATCAAGTCTGATTTAGATTTCAAAAATATATATGCATATACATATGTCTTATAAAAGATCGGAAGAAAAATAATTCTTAATACAATTTAGTTATTCAATAACATTGAACAAATGAAAAGGTTTATATAATACCCATTTATGGTACACAGCATTTCTACAATCTCTTTTTAGCATCGGACAAACATACACCCTACCCATTTATATATTTATATCTAATTTACAACTTGGAGAGAGTAGAGGTCTGTAGCTATCTATCTTTGATTTTATTGCCTGGACACATAGGTGAGCGCCACTGCCCCACAAGTTGTGCGTCACCATGAAAAACCAGTTTTGATAACACAGCCCTACCAGAACCCTACAAGAAACAATCGTGCTTCTCAATTAGACCTGTTTTGTGTGTTGCCGGACGTTAAAAAAAATTTTTTTTCTTTCTAATTTGAAAGTTATTGGCAAAAATAAATAGTTTGCTAAACTGTTCAAAAGAATTGTTGTACAAATTGCGGGAAATCTAATTTCTAAGTTCATGTAGGTACTAAGAATTCAGTCAAGAGATAAGGTTTTCAACCCCAACTAATCAAGTTGAGAAGACAACAAATAATTTGAGCTTTAAACACGCTCACAAAGACGGGTTTTTTTGTGTTTGCGATTCGATGCTAATTGTTTGCTGTTTATTTACATATTATTTGCCGTCTTTTTCTTACAACATTCGTTATCGTTATTATCGTTAGCGGCCGGTTTTCATTGCACACACGAATACACACAAAGAGATCTTTGCAATTGGGGGAGCAAACAAGACAAGTTAATCATTTAGCATACGAGACAAGTCTGCAATGCAAATGTTTGCGTTTAGTCAACAGCAGTAAATATCTAACACTAGGGGTAGACAATTAAAATTTAGTTCTGTTCGTTCCCAAACAAATAACTTACTTATTGGAAAGTACAAAGATTACTATATAATGAAATAGAAGTCTGAGAACGATAAAGTGGTTCAATCTGATACTTCTTCCATAACTCATATTACGGCATAGTTATTGCCACTGGAGAATGCTAAGAAAAATGTCAGATTGGGAAATCCATATTTAAAAATAAAACCAGCATTTCAAGTACCAGATAATTCGACAATCAATGATATGCCTTGGTTGAAAAGCTTAAAGAAATGCGGCCACTTTTAGATACGCATCATGGACTGAAATGTGTTACGAAACTAGGTAGACTGTTGATAGACTGCCTTGTGCTTGGTAATTAAAAACGAGTTACTTGCACAAGTATACCTAACAAATACTTAGAACTAAGAGAGTTAGCTTCAATAAAAATTAATGGTAATACAAATGAAAAATTTCTATACATTAATCATTTGTTCGTGATCATGACTTTTAAAAATTGTACAAGTACTAAACGTAAAATATGTATATGAGTTGATTTATGGTTTTCTTTTTTTTTTACCCACCTGAGTACTCATAACGCGCGTTCTTTGAGATACAAACTTTTATGAAAAGCAGTTAACAATTACACAAACGAGAAAAATTTTAACGGCGACAATAAAACGTAACAAAAGCCAAACAATAATTTAAGTGTTTAACAAATAAAAAACAATTAACAAAATAAAAAACTGCAATAAAAAAAGAGCAAAACGAATGTGAATAGTATAAGAAAATTATCATTTAAAACTTATGCAACAATCTGCAGGCAAAAGGAGAGACATTCGGAAACTGAACCCTGCAGGGGATACTGGAAAGTGGCAAGGCGGCAAAGCAGCAAGTGGACCGCAAGGTATTGGAAAAGCGCAGAGTGTGGGAATGGAATGGAAACAGGCGGTCGTTGTCAGTTGGTCAGTCAGGCCTGGAAACTGCAGCAGGATGTGAAATAACGGCACATGCTGCGCATGGAGCGGCAACCAATTTCTGCCGAGCACCGTCACCGCCACTTCGATTTTGAGAATCGAGTGCAATTCTCGGGAGCTGTCGGCAACTTGTTCGAAAATGAGCAAATGTCAGAGAGAGAGCGTCATGAGAGCGACTGAAATGTGATGAACGCTGAGCGAGCAAATTGTAACAATTTTTTTTTACAGTATTTTTCGAAGAGATTTTGTTCTTTTTTGTTTTTATGTGAAGAAAATTCTACATTTTGCTATATTACATTTTTTGTATGCTGCCGCACAATTATGAAATGGGCAACAGTGGGTGGCCCTCTCTCTTCCTTTGCTGCTCTCCCTCCCTCTTCCCCTCTCCCACTCTATCTTGCTCGAGCTCTCGCTGTGTGGCTGACTGTGCGGTTTTTTAGGGGCCGTACATTTGGGGTAGCGCTTAAAGTAGCAAGCGCGCAGGAAATTACTGCTATTCCAAAATGTAAATCGCGTCAATTGAATATAAACGATTTCATTGCCAAAAATACGTCAGCACGATGAGAAATGATGTGCAGATAGCCTGGCCGTTGCCCAAATATTCCAACACTATCTTAATATTTGTGCTTATTTTTGCCAACAGAAAAAAAAATGTATTGACAAATTTTGAGTTGAGAGCATTATAAGGAGACTGTGTGGGGCCCAACCTGTATGCTTGCCGCCTTGCCTTGTCTTTCCTGTGTCTCTATATGCTGACCATATGGATTTTCACACACTCAAATACACTCGCACACACACACACACACATATCTATGTAGGTACACACTAGCACTTGGCCTTACACATTATTGTTTATTGGTATGAATGTACATATAGTATATTTGTATGTATGTAGATGGGCTTACATTCAAACATACATATTTTTTTAATTTTTTGTTCAAATGTTGCACTTGCACGTTTTACTTTGGAATTTGACATTCATAATTCTTTGGGGTTAACATTTATCTTGATATGTGTATATACATACATAGTATATATATTTTCTTTTCTATATCCATGTCTGTGGTTTGTGGCATGAAGTTGGAAAAATCGATTTTGTACAAGGACGTTGCCGTCGTTGTAGGGGCGCGTTGCAGTGCGACAACGGGAAATGATGCCCTAAACTGTGTGTGTGGGTCTGCCTTTCATTTTTTTCTTCTTTTTTCTACCTTTTACACGTCGGTTGCTATTACACAATTTTTGCGTTGCGATTGCCTCGCTCTGGGGCAGCTGGGGGTTTCGTAGAAAACTACCCCGTCGATGGCGTTGTTTGCACTAGAAACTGTTTTCTTATTCGCTTAATCTCTTTGCAATAATTTTACTTTTACTAATTTTTTTTAAATATATTTTTTTATAACAAATCACACACGTTGCGTTTTTATACTCGTTAAGCTAAAAAGCTTAAGAGTTTGGTTTTCTTTTTTTTGTTTTAATTTGGTATCCTGAATTGGTTTTCTACTGCTCGTAATTCTTCTTCTTCAACTTTATTGATGCACAGTTATTGTGTAAGCAGCAAGCACCAGCGCAACGGCGGCGGCGGAGCAGAGCTGTACTCTAGTGCTAGCTAGCTGTACCAGAGACCCGAGAGACGAGTTTCAGAGTATCTACAGTTAGACCGACCTTCCCAGTTCGGTATCAACGCTCGACTGAAAATTTTCAGCCCGTTGCGAGTGGTTAAGCTTTCGATGCGACGAAATTTCATTTCCGAGAGTTCGAAACACACACACACACACACTGACAAGATAAAAGCGCGCGCTCAGAGCTTTCGCCATCGGACAGATGTTTCTTTCGTTCCTGCTGCTTCTACTGCTACTTATCAGAACGAGTGCATATGTGTGTGTGTATGTGTGTTTCTTCTAGCCGAGCAAGCAATGCCGAAGCGTGCGAAAATTGCATGGGGGTGGCGTGAGTGGGGCAGGAGGGGTTTCAGGCCGCAAGCTTTCGAACAACACGCCAAATGTATGGCAGTGTGACAAGCAGTGTTGTCAATTCCTAACCATAAAATAAAGCTAGACCGACACAGAAACAAGCCAAAAGTAGCCAAAGGAATTGTATTGCTCGCAAAAGTGTTGTTTTTCATTGCAAAGAATATCAATTAAAAAGCTAAACACTCCTTAAGCTTCGCAAACTCCTTCGTATTGTCTGTTCCAATCCCAATTCCGATACGATATTTGGTAGCAATATATTAATAAACAAAACAAATTTGCAGCCAGACTTGTTATTAAACATACCATTCAAGTAAATGCTCTGATGTATATACTATATATTCTTATAAGTACATATGTATGTATTAAGCAATACAAAAAATGTTACAGTACAATAAATATCAATTTTTAAACGCAATCGCAGCTTTAAAGTTCCCCACAATTATCATTTTATAAGCTTTTGAGCTGGCGGGAAAATGGCTAAATTGGCAACACTGGCGACAAGTGGCAACCAGATAGACAGCACAGTGAAACGAAATCCATAAAAAAAAATGAAAAAAAAACTGGAGCAGCGTGCTGAGCGGCAAGCAAATAAGTGAGCGAACAGAGTTCTTTGCTTCCATCGTTAGGCGTGGTTGCCAGTGTGCAAAGGAATTTGTGTCAGTCAGGCGCAAGTTTCAACGAGAAAATTTACATAAATTGTATAAGCAGAATGAAACACAGAGCCCGCAATGAAAACAAAACATTTTTCCATAAAACAGGCAAACACATCAGATATATTGTTTATCCCGCTCTACTTTTTCACTTTTTATCAGTTTTTATATTTTCGGTGGCCAGCATTCTGTTTATCGACCAGCCGGCCCTACTGGATGTCCATAAATGAAATGTCATAGTCACAATGACGTCACCGTAGGCAATGACAATAACAGCCATTATATACAGAAAGTGTGGACAATATTTCATACTCGCCAAAGGCTTTATGGCGCAAGTATATCAAATTTAATTTGAGCAAAAAGTTTGTGGCCGGGTGTATTGGAACTTTTTCGTTTATATACTCATGACTGAGGCGTATCTGATTTTTGTTGCTTACTTAACACAGCATCGGATGACGAGGGAGGGTGGTTGGGATGACAGCTCACGCAGTCCTTCTTAAGGACGTGGCTGCATGCCAGTATCATTCGAAAAGTACGAGCATAGTTTAATTACAAGAAATGTCACCAGCACACATACACATACACACACACACACACACACAAACACACGCACACTCGTGCACAGTTAAGGTTGAGTAAGTAACACAAAACCCCCCCAACAGAAAATCAATATTAACAGCACAAAAGTAGCGACTACGAGACTGCCAGCAATAAAAGTCGAGAAAAAAAATGTCGTTGGCTTTAGTTCGGCACTATGCTGGTTCGAGCAGGATGTGGTGGGGGACGAGCCGGGTTAGGTAGTCGATTCTGCTCGCCATGAAGGCGCTTTGCAAATGCCAAACGAATGAAAACATGAGCCTTTGCGTGTTACAGTAAAAGCTGCTTAATTGAAAGCCGAATAGTTGAAAAGGTCACAAGAGTGGTACTTTGAAAAATTGCTTACTGAATTAACAGGTACATGGCTGTCCACTTGGTTTCTCAAACAGTTAAGAATAGAAACGCTGCAGCTTTGTATGTCAATCAATTCAACGAATTAGGATTAGAGGCTAATCCATGACTGCCCATGATTGCACCAGCAATGAAGATTGATGTTTAATATGAGTGACAACATTAAAAAGTGTCTTATTCTAAGCTGATTCTTAATAGCAACACAAAATAGGCTTAAAACTGTAAAAAAATGTATATCTAAGAATCTGAAATGAGCGAAAACCTTTCAACTTCTTGTGTCATACTTGATTTTGGGGATCAAAACTCTGTTTAAAGTATGTATTTAGCATTTTATTTAGCGAAAAATAAATCTCTTTACTTTCACGAAATTCATATTTATATTACAAAAATATTTCCCTGAAAGTTGAAGTTAAATTAAAATTGTATTTATTTTTAATCAAAAAATTAAAGCAGTTATTCCAACAGGCTCAGTTTTGCAATTTTTTTTAATGCTTCTAAAATTTTTATAAATAAATTATTCATTAATATTTTCTTAAGCTAGAGGTCTTGGACATTACTGCGCCACTGCAATGGAACTAATTTGCAATTTATTAAATTATCTTCTTTTTAGAGTTTTTACATCCAGCATCTATGATCAATAATAACAAAAGTTTTAATTGATCAAAAATGCGTTTAAAAACTTCTCTTTAAGTTAAGCTTTTAGTCTGCCTATCGCTACGGGGTATATGTTGCTTCAGATACCACATATCTTAGGACTTACTGTAATGTTTATGGCCAAACAAACCTACAGAAAGGGCGCAACGACTTTAAGTGGCCGCATTTTCTAGGAGGAGTAGCTAAAAGATGGGACTGTAATGGAAGGCAGCCCCCCCATTGTAATATAAAGTTATGTAATGACACGAAAAAAAAGTTGGCAAATATGCAGAAGTCGCACAATCTGCCTGTCCAGAGTATAGTGTGTCTGTGTGCTCTTAGAGTACAAATACAGTGATAAGTTTTGGCACAATATTGCAGTGACCCGACCCCAGAAAAGTGGGACGGCCCACAAAATGGCAAACAACAAATTGTAAGGCACGCGCTTCAAGGCGGTCTTATGTAAAAGGTGCCGAATCTTCAAATGGCTAGAGTGCATTATATTTAACTAAGTTGTTGGACACAAACAAGATATGTGAACACACACATACATATACATTGTATAGATGTATCTAATTCCCTTGCGATAAGAGGCATGACAAGTTAAGTGACTTATCATTCATCATGCCCCGTTAAAACAATAGTGCATTCCATATACTCGTACATAATAAATAAAAAAGGTTATGTTTATTATCTGGAAACGCCCCTACACGTGTCACCGCACGCTTAGCCTAACTATTGAAATAAAACTACAACGAAGATGCAGCACTTACAAAAAGTTATTTGCGTTTGCCAAACATTTGAAAAATCAATAAGCAAGTGAACAATACGCTGACTTTATAAATAAATACACGAATTTATTGAAGTACTCAGTTACAAAAGCCACCTATACATAGCTGTATTGAAATAGCTATTATGACTTTTAGGCAGAATCAATAAATAACATAATGTTGTAGACAACTCCTTGATGATATAAACAATTTGCGCCTTCTTGAGAGAAACGTAGGCTGCCGTTGAAATCCATATGTTCTATGTAGACATACATATATATACGATTTGCAATGATCGCACATTAAGTATACGCAGTGGGGTGTGAAAAGCGTGCAAAACACTTTGACAGAGCGCAGCTAAAACTTTGGCTAACATGTTAATTGTCACAACTGCCAGGCAGACGTTAACAAATCGAAATATAAGTAGAGGACACGATATGGGCCGTTGCAGCCAGTTGAGAGGGCTGAGCGGACACTTTACATCACCACCACCATCACCATCAGCAAGTCGGTGCGATTCGTTTTAATTGCGTTCATGACCATGGCAAACGAGACACAAATCACAGACGGGTCAGACACAAAAACGGACAATTGGACAAACAACAGACAGTGGCAGAGTACAGCATAATCAACATTAATGTTTGATATATGAGCCAGGCCGGTGACAATGAAGCGAATGAACTGGACAACACAGAAAATCAGCGGCTGACTTACTTGGTTTGTACTTGAGCATTGATTAAAGCCGCTATGTGCATGAATGAAGCTTGCATACAAACAAATCGTACAGATACAGGTCTTATTCGCTGCAATGCACACACCTGTGGGTCTAAAGAAGGTTCTTAAAACTGAAAGAAGCATTATTACTAGTTCTCTATCAAATATTCATGCAATCAACGAATATAATCATAACTAATGCCTACAAGAGTTTCGCAGCTTAATAAAACCACAAGGAACTAGTCAAATGCTTAGATATAGTTTCTAAGACTTCTGAGAACACACCAAATAGTATAAAGACTAAATTGGTAGTAGTAAGAAATTGGTTTAAGTAATCTTTAGAAAGTGAGAATTATTACACATTTTAGTTCTAAATTATTCCACAAAAATAAAAAACAAGAAAGGAATGCTAAAGTCGAGCAGGCTCAACTCTTAAATACCCTGTACCACCCCACAAAAAAGTAATTAAATTAACTAAATTAATTTAATTAATTAACTAAATTAAATATAAAATATTTCATGCATGCATAGATACATTTACATCAGAATCGTGCCTTATGCGTGTTTGTGTACTTGTACATATGTATGTATGTGTGCATTGGGCCTGGTTATATGGCTATAACTTTCTTTCCGATCATTCTTTCATAATGAAACTTGGTATACGGATATATAATTACTAACCTAATGTGACTACCAAATTTTAGTTCAAAATTCCAAGAATTACGGGAGTTATAGAAAATCGTTAATAGGGGGGGAGTGGGGGGGTGGATCAGAAAAAATGAACAAACTCGTCCTTTCTCGATCTTAGGAGAATATGGAAACCAAGTTTGGTTATTCTAGCTCTTATACTTTCTGAGATCCTTGCGTTCATACGGACAGGCGGACAGACAGACGGACGGACGGACAAGGCTATATCGACTCGGCTTCTCATCCTGATCAAGAATATATATACTTTGTGGGGTCTGCCACGCCTCCTTCTGTGTGTTACAT